GAGCTATGTGAATGGTGGAAAATGAACCCAAACCATCTTTCCCCAGCTAGCAGAGGACACATGGCTGGGTATGCTGTGTGATTTGCTATGGCCAGCTGTGTTTTGTACACACAGAAGTACAAACCATTGGTGTGATCAGGCCTGCCTTCCTGTGCTCCTGCCACAACTGTGAGAACTTCTTAAGGTCAACATTCACACTTCAGCCCAGGTCTAAATGCGAACACAGAGCAGAATGAAGTCCAACTCCTAACAGGTGGCAGAGTCCTGCCAAGCACCAGCTTGAAGTAGTCACTCAGACAGGCTTGTGGCAGCCAACCTATAAGGCATAAGAATTATTTAAGCAACTGAGATGTGGGGAGGTTAGGCAGCAAGAGCAACTGAAATGTTAAGTGTTGGGTCTTCTATAATCCTCTATGCATCATAAAGACCAATGATGTTGTCTATAGAGTCTTGAATAGCATATTCTCGCACACAGTATGTGTTCAAGAAATACCTGTTGAAGCCGGGTGCCGGTGGTTCATGCCTGTAATCCTAATTGCTCAGGAGGATGAGATCTGAGGGGCGTAGTTCAAAGCCAGCCCAGGCAGGAAAGTCCATGAGAACTTTATCTCCAATAAACCACTCAGAAAAACAATAGTGTCGCTGTGGCTCAAGTGGTAGAGAGCTAGCCTTGAGCTGAAGGGACAGCGTCTAGGCCCAAAGTTCAAGCCTCAAAACTGACAAAAATAAAACAAAAACATCTGTCGAGGACGGGTTTGTGTTTTTTCTAAAAATCATGAACTAAGAGCTAAACATCATTACTTAAGAACTAATACTTGAGTGTTCTCAACTTCAAAATCAATTTCCCGCCACCCCACTGTGCCGAACTCAGGGTCTTTAGGCAAAATTTTTGCTGGTTAGTGGGAGATTTGTCTATGCAGGCTGTCTTTCAACTTGTAGCCCTGAGACCTCACCCCCCAGAGTAGGTAAGATTACAGGTATGAGTCACCAGTGCCTGGCCAAAATTCCAAATTTTAACAATGATCAGAACGCTCATTAAGAGCCAATTACAGAATTTATGTACAGATTATGGAAATAACTACCTGGGTTTGAACCCAGATTTCACAAATTGCCAGCCAGGTGACCTTGGGTCGAAGTTATTTCATCTCTCTCCTGCATTTTAATATATGTTATTAATAGTTCTGCTATTAATAGTCTGTCTCTACTTCACAGGACAGTTGTGTGGATTACAAATATACCTCAGGCACTTTCAACCTTGCTTGGTACAGTTAATGCTGCATAGGCATTTACTATTAATGTTACCTCCACAGAGATAATTTTAGGAGACTTTAAATGTCTTCTTCACCTGCCCTTCCACTCACCTTTTTACTTCTGTTAACTAATGTCTGTATTTATTATACTCATCTCTTCTAGGTTTTCCTGATCTCTTTATGCTCAGGAATGCTAAGTGCTGATATATATTCCTCCCCATTCACCCTCCAACAGTCTTTAAAGACTTGCTGTTGTTCTTATCCAGGATGTCATGTGCTCATCTCCACCTGTTCAAATTCTATTTGTTCCTCCACAGTGCCTGCCACCTTCCTGGCAAGTCTGTTCCTATCTTCTCTTCCAACACAAACTTGTTCTCTGTCCCATAGCAATTTGCTTCCATCTCAAATCACCCTTTCCTTTCCTTCTTTCTTTTGGCTCAACTTACTAAGCATTGAACTCAGAACCCTGCATTTGCCAAACTGGTGCTCTGCTACTTGAGCCATACCTCCAGCCTTTTTACTTAAACCTATGATGAAACTGCTCTTAAAGAATACTATACCTCACCCCCACCCCTTGCTTCAGTATACAGAAGGCAAACAACAAATACTTGCTAAACCATCCCATTTAGACAGGATCTTATCTGCTCTACTGAAAAGCCAATTCATTTTTTAAATTTATTGTTATAAAGGTGATGTAGAGAGCAATTACAATTAATGTGAATCAGGTAATGAGTACACTGCCTTTCGTAGTGTCTTCTGTTCTCTCACTCTTTCCCAGTCCCTCTCTCCCATCTCCAAAAGCCAGTTCATTTTTAAAGATTAAAAGCTTGTCATAGCAGAGGCCAGTGGCTCATGCCTGTAATCCTAGTCAGGAAGCTGAGATCTGAAGATCATGGTTTGAAGCCAGCCCAGGGCAAGAAAGCCCATCAGACTCTCATCTCTCAATTAACCACCAAAAAGTCAGAAGTGGAGCTGTAGCTCCAGTGGTAGAGTGCAAGCCTTGAGCACAAACGCTAAAGGACAGTGCCTAGGCCCCAAGTTCCAGCTTCAGGCTCAACACAAAAACAAAAAACACATTATAATTGGAGACATTTTAAGAAAAAAGCTATTTACATGTAAAAAGGAAAGACACTTGACTTTTTGTATTAAAAAACTTTATTTCATTTAAAAGGTTCAATAGAAGCCAATGAAACCCCCAATTTACAGCTACATTTAGAGATCTCCTAACAAAATGGCACTGTTTAAGTTGAATCTTCGGTAAAAGAAGTCATTGCTATTACCACTGTTTTCCCAAAGTTGTTTCTGAGTAGAAGCTGGTATTATTATAATACACATCAGCTATTTCAGATGTCACCTTTCATGCAGGAAAGTTAAAGAAAGCTGTTCAAGAAACAGGCTTTATCCTTCAGTGTGAGGATAAAAGCACTACAGAACAGGACCTGAATGGTTGACACACAAGGTGTAACTATAAAGGAACTCACTGTGGTGTTGTGTCCATTCATTCAAGTAGTCCACATACTTATCCAAATACTGATGTCGTTCAATACTATCTGGGTGAATCTGGGTGAGTACTTTGGAATTCCCCTCATCAGGTGCATACCAAGGAAGTGGGTTGCTCAAGCTGGGGGATAGACAGGCACACATGCGATTACAAAGCAAGGGAATAGCTTTCCTATTAGGCTGGAAACGAATGTTTTCAGTAACAGCATCAATTTACATAAAGTGATGCAGGATCTTAGTTCTGGTATGTGTGGAAACAAATTTAAAAGAGCTTGTTACTTTATAGCTACACCTTATACTTCATTAGATGTGGTCAATCTAACAGAGTCTAATGAGTTCTTATGGAGGTCATTTCAGCAAAGGAGTCAACAGCCTGCAAGAGAGAAGACATGGCAGAGGGCAAGAGATTCATCCTTCCAATATTCTTTCAAGAGGACAGACCTGGGCCCAAAGACAGAAGTTACCAGGAGGGAGGCTTCAACTCCATCTAAGGAAGACCTTTCTAACATTAGAGCTGCTCAACAACTGAATGGACTGCTTGGTGAGGTAGAATCACTGGAAGAATTCAAGGTGGAAAGATCACCCTTGTAGAAGGGACTCCTGCATTTGTTAAGAGGTTAGACCGGATGAACCTCAGGTCTCTTTCAATTCTGAGATTCTAGAAAATTCCCTCAGGGAATTCAGAAGAGAATTCCTAAAAGGAAAGAGAAAGCACACATATGGTATACTTTTAGAATCCTCTTGAGTTTTCATTTTTTTCAAAAGGTACAATAGAAAATGTAGTCTATTGTCTTTAAAATGCATATTTACCCATCCAACCACTAATAATTAGGAAGGGTTCATTATGAGTTCTTTATATTATAAAGAAAAGATGGAGATTATAAGTTTTGTAAATATTTTAGAAAAACTGCGTAAAATCTAGTAGTCAATGCCCTAGAAACTTTATAATTTTTTTAGATAATATGCACAGATACAAATACATTATTTATTAAATACAACTCACATCTGTGTTTTATTATACTCTAAAATATACAGGAATCTTGATGTACTGAAAGAGTGCAAGTAAATACAGTATTCAAGCAGTCACTATTTCTATGTACATGCTCATTAATTCTTCAAAAACCCCACAAAATTATCAAATAGATCAAAATACTGTTCTGTGTTTTCACACTTTATATTCAGAAAAACCAGCTGATAATTTACAATGTCATCAAGTTTCCAGTTTCACAATACAAAAGGATAAAATAAAATTGGGTTTCATGTAATTTATGGAACTTTATTATGGAACTTTAGCCAGACCTGTAAGACTGCCTATATAAGTGAAGTCATTTTTACTGGGAAAGTGACAGTTACAGTAAAAAACAGAACCACAGAAAGTGTTATTTAAAAGTTTACATGTCAGCTTTTTCTCTTTTATTACTTAAAAAGTAATCTTCAATCTGGCAGGCAATTGCTTTCTCTTTCCAAATAGTGACCAGTTCCAAACATGCTACTCGAAATCTGAGTAAGACCTAAAGGCTTGAGCCATTTCAATCTCATTTAACACAGAAATGCCTTCCAAGAGACTTGAAGATGTTTAGCTTAAGAATAACAAGGAATTTTTTGATATTTCACTTTTTAAAAACTCAAAAATTAAAGTGACAACAACAAAAATCCCCCAACCTAGTGTGGAGGCACGAAGTAACTGAGTGACATGGGTGTACCATCTGAAGTAGTGAGCCCGAAAATTCCACTCCCAGGACCACTTAGCTGCAATAGGGTGAAATAACTGAGTTTTCAATTTCACAAATTTATGTGTATTAAATTCTTTACCTTCATAAACAAAAATAGTTCGATTTTAAACCCAAACCATTCAAACATGGGCAAGAGCCTGATCTCAATCCATCTCATGTCTTTGTCACAAGTATTTTCACCCATACTGCGCCAGTCAGCTGGTTTTCAATTCTATTATAAAAACTGGAACTTCAAAATTTTTTATGTATGTAAAAGAAAAAAAAATGTAAAAATACACCTGCTTTCTTTCATGGTTTAATACAGTATTGGAAGGCTTTCAGATGTTTTCTTTATAAAAATCAATATTTAAATCAAATCTCAGCTTCCTTTGCAAATAGTGAAGTTTGGTTTAGTAAATGTCCCATTTCACCTATTCCAGTTTCCACAAAATGGCCTTCTATTATAAAAATCTTTAAGTCATTTGGTCCTTTGGCAATTTGATGTGCCATAATGTCTACTGTACCAAACTCTTATTGCCTTTAAAATTAGTTGTAATTTTATTGATAAAATTTAAATCTAGTGTCCTCTTCTCTTACAGTAGTGTTGCTGTGTAAGCAGATTAGGGAGCACAGTGTCCCAACAAAATTATTTCTGGCACTGTAAAGCCAAATCAAACAATTCCATAAAGCACTTTGACATCAATGTGTTTTCCTCTGGTCAAGTCAGTATCAAGATTCTAGAGGTTCCTTTTGCAAAACTTGCCTTTAGAATTCTTCTTCCTAATGGCATCCAATGTGTTACACGCTTTCACTGTGTGAACTCTTTCTTCTTAGGTTCAACTTGTATCTTTAATAAGAAAGTGCTTTTCTTTTTTTCCTGAAAAAGCACAGTTTGAAGCTTTAGTGTCAAAACTTTAGACCTCTGGCTCAGCCTCTTAGTAGGTCTCAGAATCAGAGTCATTGAGCTCATCCACATCAGTATATAAGTACTCCTGTTCCCCAGTAATATTGTTGAAACTGCAATAGGAACTGGGTTCATTCCTCATGATAGGCAAGGCTTCAAAGCTCACTGTTTTTGAGGTGTTGGTATAACGGTTAATGGCATTGAATGTCAGGGAGGACAAAGGGCTAGTTGATGAGACAGGCATCATGGTGGCCAAAATGAGAGCCAGGCAATCAGCTACGTCCTTATTGGGAGCACATGCCAAAGCTGGGGTATAGCCTAGAAAATAAAAATTTAAAATTAACAACCTTGAGACTTCACCAAATATAATAAAGAGGTAAATCTCTTTGGCTTTAGTAATAAATTAAGGAGAATAATTCCAAACTTTCTATTAAATAGAAAAGGATAAAAGCAATACAAATACAGTCTAAACATAAGGAACTATAAAGATTCATGAATGAAGCACTAATCATGTGGTAAAGATGTATGTTGAATGATACTTGTCATTCTCTATTGAATGACATTTGTTTTTTCTCACTGAAGAACAAGTGAATTTTAAAGCCTGCTACTATAAGACAAATGTTTCCATTATACAGGTTCCTTTTCTAGCAAAAGTCATGAGGCCCTACAATACAAAAGAGCAAGTATTCATACAACAAGCTGAGGAGGAAAATATTGGTACCCTGATTGGTGCAAGATCGACCCAATTTTGAGGAATGTGTAGGAGAGAAGATGGTAAGAACATACTGTGTATTCAAGTTTCAATTATTCCATGGAGAACTGTTTTAAGCCATAGATATTTAATATCAGAAAATATCTTAATATTGTTGTCTATAGCTTCATTTATTGTTGCAAATCTGTTGTTTATCCTACTACTGTACTTACATTTTAGCCTTCATGTTTATATATATATATATATTTGAAAAGTCACACTTATTTTCAATATAACAGAAAACTGCCAAATGAAGATTCATACAGCCATCACCCAGGTCAAGAAAGACAACAGGGGGGCGGGGGGAGGATGGGAAGGGGAAACAAAGGAGGAGGCTACAATGCTTGATAAGAAATGTACTCATTATCTTGCCCATGTAATTGTAACCCCTCTGTACAGTATTTTCACATAAAAAATAAAAATTAAAAAAAAAGAAAGACAACATTACCAGCATGCCAGAAGCATCCCATATCCCCTACCTAAACATAACTTTCTTGCCTCTTTCAACAATTGTCACTACCATTCCAACTTTTATGATAAATACTTCCTTGCTATATATGGTCATAAACAGTACAGATTTTTTTTAGCCTAGATGGAATAATACACTATGTATTATTTTATATGAGGATTCTTTTAACATTATGAGAGACTTAAGATTGTTCTATCTAACTGTAGTCAGTTCATTTTCACTGTTATGTAGTATTTTTTCATGTGATCATACTACAATAGTTTATATACAGTGTAACTATGAAGCATTTGGCTATTTCCACTTCTGTGTTATTTTCATTCATGGTATACGACCACTGATTCAGAAAACATAAATTTTCTCCTTTAAAAAAACTGCCATTTTTGGGGCTGGGAAGGTGGCTCAGTGGTAGAGCACTTGTCTTGCATGCATGAGGCCCTGGGTTTGATTCCTTAGCACCACATAAGCAAAAAGAAAAAAGCCGGAAGTGGCGCTGTGACTCAAGTGTTAGAGCGCTATCCTTGAGCTGAAGAGCTGAGGGACAGTGCCCAGGCCCAGAGTTCAGGCCCCATGACCGGACCACCCCCCAAAAAATCAAACCAAAACAAAAAAAACCCTGCCATTTTTGAGCTGGGAGCTGTGACTCACACCTTTAATCCTAGCTACCCAGGAGGCTGAGATCTGAGGACTGCGCTTCAAAGCCACCCTGTGATGTGAGACTCTCATCTCCAATTAACCACTCAAAAACACTGTGGGGCTAGAGGCTAGGAAGTTGGCTCAGTGGTAGAGCGCTTGCCTTGCATGCCTGAGGCCCTGGGTTCCATTCCTCAGCACCACATAAGCAAAAAGAAAAAAGCCGGAAGTGGTGCTGTGGCTCAAGTGGTAGAGTGCTAGCCTTGAGCTGAAGAGCTGAGGGACAGTGCCCCAGCCCAGAGTTCAGGCCCCACGACCGGACCCCCCAAAAAAAAGAACAGCTCCTGAGTTCAAGCCCCACAACTTGACAAAAAAAAAAAAAAGCCATTTTTGTCCAGGGTCAAAGGAAAAAAGAATGTGCACTGGAGCAGCCTGTTTATACTCTGCTTCTATCAAAGAAGTAGACCTGTCTCACTTCACAATGTATCCTCAGAACTTAGACGTGCTTGGTAGAACTGTCATGCAACAAACTCCACCGAACTCCTACTGTCTTGTCTGCGGGCTGCTTCTAATACTTAAGATTCCCTGCTTTAGTAAGCTTATGTTCATTCTGAGAGAGAGAAAAAATACATCAGTATAAAGTAAATCAGACAGAAGATAAGCTCTACAGAAAAGGAGATGTTAACAAGGACCGAGTGTGTGAATAAGAACATGTAGCAAGTTGTAGTACAAATGGTCAAATTAGGCTTCATTTAGAAGATGGAATTTGAACTAAGACTTGAAACAGGTGAAGGATTTAGTCAAAGAATGTTTGGAGGGCAGAGTGTTTGTTCTAGACAGAACAAAGATCACAATGCATGTACAAACCTGTGACAGAGAAGAGAGGGTGACAGAATAAATTAAGATGGAGAAGAGTAGGAAATGAGATCAGAAAGGTAATTAGGTAGAGGATTCTGTAGGTTGTTTTAAGAGCTATGTATTAACTGAAATTCAAGAGCAACATATTCTCCATTTTTAGCATATATTAGTTGTACAAAGGAGAGAGTCCATGCATATAATATACTCCAGTAAAATTCTCCCCTAACACTTTCTCTTCCTTACTTCTAAAATAATTTCATTCTTCTATTTCCAAATTACTTTGATCATATTTATCCTCATTCACCCTGTCCATTTATCCTCTACTTCCTATTAATACCTATGGGCTCAACATAGCCTGTCTTTTTTTTTTTTTTTGGGTTCTGTCGTGGGGCCTGAATGCTGGGCCTGGCCGCTGTCCCTCAGCTCTTCAGCTCAAGGCTAGTGCTCTACCACTTGAGCCATAGCACCACTTCGGCTTTTTTCTCTTATGTGCTGCTGAGGAATCGAACCCAGGGTCTCATGCATGCAAGGCAAGCGCTCTACCACTGAGCTACCTTCCCAGCCCCCTGTCATTTATTTTTTCAAGCGTGTATTAACTGTGCTGAGAGGCTTGAACATGGTATTTTAGATGTGCATCAGAATAATCCTTTCTATTGCTTTCTTTTTCCCTGCCTCCTGCCTAATTGTTCTGTTCTCGTGTTTTCAAAGGATGCACTGACGTAGTGGTGGTAAAGAAAGAAGTTGGCAGATTCTGGATATACTTTCAAGGTAGGAGCAACAGTGTATGTTGAAGGAAAGGTACACTGGACCAGAAAGAGAGATGGGGGGGGGCGGCAGAGGAGAGAGGGGAGAGAGAAGAGAGACAGAGAGACAGGGAGAGAATAATCAAGAACAGCTCAAATACTTGCTATGAGTATTCAACTGAGATCAGGATGGCTGTGGGAAGAACAGATTTAGTGGAGGAAGAGAAAAAGAACTAGAAGTTTAGATCTTGAATGGTTTGAGAGGTTTATGAAGATATTCATGTGAGAAATCTGGGCTGGCAACATAAATGTGGGAATTCTCAGCATACAAGTACTTTTTAGAACCAAGGACTAGATCTGATCATCTGGAAGAATTGTAGACAGGAAAAACAAAAAAGATCCAAAGGCTAAGTCCTGGAGCCCCCCCCCAATATTAACAAATTAGGAAGAGTGTGACATTTTGTAAAACACTGGAAAAAGGGTAACTAGTAATAGAGACAGGGGGCAGCAGGAGATACAAGAAAGTGTGTGGGTTCTAAAAGCCAAGTAAAGAATGTTTTCTATAGGAAAACAGTTAAAAACTTTTGCCAAAAGGTGACCTGACAAGTGAAATGAGAACTAAGAACTATGTAACATTTTAGAAAACAACAGTGATCTTGTTAAGCTCTGCAGTGTGGTGGGACAAAGGTCTGACTGAAGAAAGCCAATTCTTGAGCAGTTTTGTTGGAACAAGGAATGCAGAACTAGGCAGCAACTAGTACCAAGAGTGAAATTAGTAAGACTTTTTTTCTTTTTGTTGGTCGTGGGGCTGGAACTCTGGGCCTGGGTGCTCTCCCCCAGCTCCTCATATCAAGGAGGGAGCTCTACTGCTTGAGTCACAGCGCCACTTCTGTTTTTCTAGTGCTTTATTTGGAGATAAGTGTCTCACAGGCTTTGAACTGCTGGCTTTGAACTGCGATCCTCAGATCTCAGCCTTCTGAGTAGCTAGGATTACAGGCCTGAGCCACCTGCGCCCAGCTAAAAATTTTTTTCTTTTGGGTCCGGTCATGGAGCCTGAACTCTGGGCCTGGGCGCTGTCCCTCAGCTCTTCAGCTCAAGGCTAGCGCTCTACCACTTGAGCCACAGCACCACTTCCGGCTTTTTTCTTTTTGCTTATGTGGTGCTGAGGAACTGAACCCAGGGCCTCATGCATGCAAGGCAAGTGCTCTATCACTGAGCCACCTTCCCAGCCCTAAAAGATTATTTTTAAGGTGACAGAATTGATGTTTATATATTTGTAGGACTTGCACAGTGTCCCAGCAACACACACACACACACACACACGCGCGCGCAAGAAAAAATAACCTAGAAAAGGGATAAAACATTGTCACTGCAGAATACAAAAGAATTGTTAAAGTGACATTCTCTAGTAGGCAACAAGGCACAGCATCTAGTCCATGAATGGATACACAAGTAAGGAGTTGCTAAATATTTGCACTCAGGGTAGAAGATGAAAAATGGTGGTAAACACTAACTTTGGTTTATACATGACATGAGAATTAAGGCATTAATCTACTAGATTGTTCTCATCCTATTTCTTTGCCACAGAGTTCCACTCTGTGCCCAAGTTTATTTTACTGCAAATATGGACCTTCAAAAACAAAATTAAGGCTTCTAGGGAAGAAAATCCATACCTACTTACCATTTTCATCTACTGCAAGAACACTTGCTCCTTTTCCCAAAAGTTCTTGAACCACCATTGTTAGCCCATTTCGGGCAGCAACATGCAGAGGTCTGAGGGGAGAAAATTGAATACATACATACACACACATATATATATATATATACACACAGTACCTGTACACAGGCATACACCTGGCTGTCAAAGAACATTTTGGCCAAGTTCTGAAGACTTAGACATACAACCCCGAGACATTCATAAAGGTGGAGGGGGTGGACAATAGAACCTCTGTAAAATGTTGGACCTGACAGCATCTATATAAATTCTGCTATATGGGAACCACTGGTAGTTTCCACTGTCAAAAAATCCCACTTACTATTTTTCTTTTAAGATTTATGTTTAAAAAGATTTAATCAAACAACAGTAATTCTTAAGTTGTTTTAAAAGTGAGGCTGACAATAATAAAAACTGTAAATTAGAACAGCACAAATTCTAACCACCTCTGAAGACAGACTAAAACAGGCCCTGTAACTAATGGGGCGTGACTAATCCAAGACTTCTAGCCAGTCTTCTAAGCTTTTTCTTAACAAAATTTCAAAGTAGAATAGTAACTGGAAATTGGTAGAATGAATCTAAGTGTGAGGATCAATGGGAAACATGGATCTAAGATCTGTGTCAGTCAATCCAAAAGTTTCCTACTCATTAAGCAATTTTTTATTTCAAAAACATTTTCAGTTTACAGATACATATAAAGGCTTCTTACCTCCTTTACTGCAGTGTTAAGTAGCATACACACAGTTGAATTTCATCAAATAAACAGTACTACATTTTTTTCAGAAAGTTGTGTGAAGGAAGTCATTGAGAAAAAAAAATCAGATAAAAAGTAATTCTAGTTACTCAGGAAGCTGAGATGATTGGAAACCAGGCTGGGCATACACATCTGTGAGACTCTAATTCCAATTAATCAGTAAAAAGCCAGAAGTGGAAGTGTGGCTCAAGTACTAAAGAACAGTGAATAAAAAAGCAGAGTGAGGAGGGTTCAAGGCCTTAACATCAAGCCCCAGTACTGGTAACACATACAAAATCAATAACAACAAACAACATTCTTTTTCAATTTAATGTTTAGTAAGGGTTTTCAATTATAGTGACTGCTTTACTTTTTTTTTTTTGGTGCTTGTCCTCAGGTTTGACCTCAAGGCCTGGGCACTGTCTCTGAGCTTTTTTGCTGATGGCTAGCACTCTACCCCTTGAGCAACTGTTCCCCTTCCAGCTTTTTGGACTTTCCTGCCTGGACTGGTTATGAACCATGATCTTCAGATCTCAGCCTCCTGAGTAGCTACAATTGCAGACCTGAGCCATCACCTAATTTATTTTTTCCTGAAATAAGGTCTCACTACATAGCTCAAGCTAGCTTTGAACTCATAATCCTCCTTCCTCAGCCTCTGTGGTGCTAAGACCACAGATGTATGCTACCATATTGGCTGTTGTCTGGACTTTTTAAACTGCTTTATGTCAGAGACCTATCCCATTAGTCATTTATTTTTTTATAATTATAAAGATCAAAAGCTTATACTTGATAGTGAAAGTACTCACGTTTGCAAGGCTGCGTTGGTTGCATTGATGAGGTTTCTATCTGTAATCTTTTCTAGTATTAACAAGGCACTAGTTTCATGACCCTAAAATTGGGGCAAATAACTGCTCTTAAAACTTGGCCATCATTAAAATTAATTTATAAGCCCAAATAGTCCCCAAATCATACAAACTCATACATACAAACAAATTCAACACTATCCCACAAATTTCCCAGCTACTGTCATAACTATATGACCAAACAAGAAGGGTTTGGTTCTTTTCTCTTTTCATTTAAGTGATATAGAAAACTTTTTTTTTTTTTGGTTGTAGGGCTTGAACTCTAGGCCTGAGTGCTGTCCCTCAGCTCTTCAGCTCAAGGCTAGCACTCCACCACTGGAGCCATAGCACCACTTACGGTTTTCTGAGTGGTTTATTGGAGATCAGAGTCTCACGGACTTTCCTGCCAAGGCTGGTTTTGAACCATAATACTCAGATCTCAGCCTCCTGAGTAGCTAGGATTATAGGCATGTGCCACCAATGCCCGGCTTTAGAAAAAAACTATTATGTCTCTGTTGATGCTAACAATGAAAATGTGTACATACCTTGCCACAAGCCAAATGGAGGGCGGTGTTTTTACAGTTATCTTGTAAAGTCAGATCAGCACTAGCACTGCTAACCAGCATCTCTGGGAGGAAAAAGTGCATCAAGTCTTATGTTTATGAACATGTTTCTTAGATACCAATAACTCACTGCAGAGAAATGAAGACATAAAGCAAAAAATATCCCTCTTGCAAAGTGCAAGAAAAAGATTTAATACATAGTATACATAATACATTGTCACATAATTGTATGACTTCCATATTCTTATATAAATTAGATGTTAGCAAAAACAATCAGCATTTATTTTGTGAGTGCTTATTATAAAATTGCAGTCTTTTTATGCATTCTAGATTTAAACTAACTTTCACAAAAACTCTATGAAGTAGGTGCGGTTACTTTGCTCATTTTGTAAATGTAAAAAGATAAAAGGTCACTTAGCTAGACCTAGGACTCACATTCAGGGATCTGACTCTAGGACCAGTTTCTTAATTAAGGTACACGACCATGTTAATGTAATCTCTTCAAACAGCAAGGGCAAATTAAAACACTATACTCTCCTAAGGGGACAATGTAGGTCACAAGCAGGCAAAGGTTTTAAATTTTAGGAGCAGTGAGATTAAATAATAGAAGCCAGAAGTAGTTTTGGGATCTATGGTATGTATATACAAGCAACAAATGTATACTTAGAAGAATAGAATCTTAAGTTGCCCCCTCCACCCTTTCTGTAGTTTCACTCTGAAATTCAAGGTCACCCTGAGCTGAAGATTCTCCTGCTACAGCCTCCTGAATAGCTAGGATTACAAGTACACATAGCACTTGGCTCTAAATGATTTCTTTACCAACTGTATTTGTTTGTCCATTTTCTGCAGCCATCATGAGGGGTGTTTTCCCAGAGGAGTCCACAGAATTGACTTGAGCATTATGGCTGAGCAGCAGCTGTAAACATTCTACATGGTCTGTGAAAGCAGCTGCATGGAGAGAAGTTCTGTGACAGAAAAGTTGGAATATATTACTACATTTGAATGACACATACATCTGGAAAAAAAATCCCTAATTTATGACATGGTAATTTACATATTAGGCAATGAAAGCAATGCCTAAATACAAACAGGTTCAAGGAAGCTTATGAATTCTTACCACATAAACTTATACTATTGATAACAAGAGGCCTTAAACTATAAATAGTCTAAAGTAAGAAACAATCACAAAACTACTAAAATAACACACTAAGGAAAACTTAAAAAAAATAAATCCTGACTTTCAATTACCTGTTAAATTGCTGGATTCCTTTTCCAATTGCTCCTATTTTGAAAATTTTTGTTGGCATTACAATATAATCTTTGCGTAAAAAACAGAGGGAAACCTTTACATTTCAAAATAGCTTCAAGCTGGGGACCGGTGGCTCAGGCCTATTATCCTAGGTACTCAGGAGGCTGGGATCTGAGGATCGAGGTTCAAAGCCAGCCCTGGCAAGGAAAGTCCATGAGACTCTTATCTCCAATAAACCACTCAGAAAACCAGAAGTGGCACAGTGGCTCAAGCTCTAGCCTTGACCTGAAGAGCTGAGGGACAGCGCCCAGGCCCAGAGTTCAAGCCCCATGACTAACCAAAAAAAACATAAAAAAAAAAAAAAAAGATCAGGGGATAGAAGCCCTATAAAACTAGTACTTTAACAATTTATGCTTGTAAATGTACAATTTACTTCTTAATTAATCACAGGATCTTTGCAAATTGTCATACCAGATTAACAGTTAAAATTTATTTTCCTTCTGAAAGTAATACTGTATTCACCAAAGTTGCATTCTTACCTTCCTTTTGAATCTGTGGCGTTCACAATGCTGGCACCTAGTGTATCAATTAACATCTCTGCAGCACCTTCATTGTCATTTATCCTGTGTAAGGTAACAAGGTGATCACTTTCACAGCAATGATGTATTTCCTAAAATATTCAAAGTAAATTCATTTATTTAGCTTTACTTACACGGCACAGTGCAATGGACTGAAAGCATTTCCTTCTATTTTCTGGAAAACTTCCTGTTCTAAAAGAAGTTCTACACATGTGTCATGACCTAAATAGGTAAGGAAGACCGGATATTAAAATCCAATAAAGGTAAATATTGTTGAAATACTTTATATAAATATACGAAAGCAGAATGATGAAACCCACTGAATTATTTTAAGAAGACTGATAATGGAGTGAAAGAGTGATAGTTAAGTTGATGAGGTACATTGTAGGCATCTATGGAGAGAGTTCAATGAAATCCTCATGCAACTAATGTATGCTAATCAAAACAATTATAAGACAAATACTGCCAAAAACCTCAAATATACAGAAGTATCTGTAAGGAAACAAACACAAGTCCCTCCACCTCTGTCTTACCACTCAGATTCAGTTTAGGCTCTAACCATTGTTCTTTCTACTTTTAGAATATAGATATTTTGAAATTTGCTTTTTACTTATTAATAAGTTGAATACAGCCTTTCATGAGAGCACTTTTTTTTTCCTGTGTCAGTCCTAGGGTTTAAACTCAAGGTCTGAGAGCTGCTCTGAGCTTTTTTGATTAAGGCTGGCACTTCACCAATTAAGCTACAGCTCCACTTCTGGCTTTTTTTGGTAGGTGACTTCCTGCCTGGGCTGGTTTTAAACTGTGAAACTTGGATCTCAGCCTCCCGAGTAGCTAGGATTACAGCTATGTTACTCTCAATGTCCACAGAGCTCTAGTTTCAGAGCTTCTGAATTAACTTCTCTAATGGATTTGAGGTGATTTGCTAGTTTTTTTTTTTGGCCAGTCTTGGGGCTTGACCTCACGGCCTGGGCACTGTCCCTGAGCTTCTTTTGCTTCTAGCTAGCATTCTACCACTTGGGCCACAGCTCCTCTGCTGGATTTATCTGTGTATGTGGTACTGAGGAATCAAACCCAGGGCTTCATGTATGCTAGGCAAACACTGTATCACTAAGCTACCTTCCAAGCCCCTCGTGGGGTCTCTTATAGCATATATTTTTTTTCTTCCCTCAGTTCACTCATTCCAGTTTTGCTGCAGTCTGGAAATTAAGACACATCTGTTGCTTTCTAAGGGGTACCCAGGCATGTCGTTTGTACAAATTTCTATTTCTCATACAAAATGTTCATAGAGAGTCTAAGTCAATAGGAATAGAATAACAGTGCTCCATACACAGACCAAGTAATGTTATAGGAGAGTAATTCTCCAAATGACAGATAACAAAATGCTCTACCTGAGAAGAAATTTCTTACTGTACAATATTTTTCTCCAATAGTTAACTGTTGTTATAAAAGCCTTTGTTTTAGAAAAAACGCACATATCACCCGATGAGGAAGAAATAGTTGTATTGTCAAAGCTCACAGAATTCACAAACTTTATAGACCATGAAAATGACAATTTGCCTTGTAAAAATTAAAATGTGTTTATGACTTTAAATACTAATTTCCCACAATACTGTGAAATTTATGTAATCAATCTCAAAAAAATTTTTTTAAAGAAAGTCTTTGCTTTAAATGGTTTTATTGCACGGATTTTTCTTTTCTTTTCTTTTTTAAAGAGAGTCTCCCTGTAGCCTAGGTAGCACTGGACTCAAAATTCTATTTCAGCTTCTTAAATTCTGTGATTACAGGTCTTAGCCACCATGCCTATCCTCAGTAACATTTTACATTAGCAAAACTGACATTTGTGGATGCTTTTCCACTCTATTTCATAATTTGGGTTTTTCTCATGTTCCCAGGTGTCACAAATCCTATTATAAAACTAAGTCAAATTTCAGTGGCTAAATACAGAATATCTTCTTGCCATCTATCTGTCTGTCTATCTATCTATCTAGTCGGTCATGGGGCTTGAACTCTGGGCCTGGGTGCTGTCCCTGAGCTCTTCAGCTCAAAGCAAGTGCTCTATCACTTGAGCCAGAGGCTACTTCTGGTTTTCTGGTGGTTAATTGGAGATAAGGGTCTCACAGACATTCCTGCCTGGGCTGTCTTGGAACTGAGATCCTCAGATCTCAGCCTCCTTAGTAACTTGGCTTACAAGCACGAGCCACTGGCTCCGGCTAAACATTTGTCCTAAGATAATAAAGGCTAATGTTACCTTGGGGCTGGCCCCACGCAAAAGATTGAGACTCTTGAAAATTAACTATGGCTAAAAAGGGCCTGAGTAGTGGTAACTCACACTTATAATCCTAGCAACTCAGGAGGCTGAGATCCAAGGATCATGGTTCAAAGCCAGTCTGGGCAACAAAGTCCCTGTGAGATTCTTATCTCCAATAAACTCAAAAAAGCCTGAAGTGGCACTGTGGCTCAAGTGATGAGTGCTAGCCTCGAGCACAAAGAGGCTCAGGGACAGCACCCAGGCCCTGAGTTTAAGACCCAGTACAAAACAAAACAAAAACAGAAATGGCTGGAGTGTAGTAGGATTCCATGCTTAGCAAGCACAAAACCCTGAGTTCAAACACTCAAGCTTTAAGAATTAGTTGGGGGACTGGGGATTTAGCCCAGCGGAAGGGTGCCCGCCTGGTGCGCACAAGGCCCTGGGTTCAGTCCTCAGCCCTGGAAAAAAAAAGCTACAAAAGAATTAGTTGAAAATTCAAACATCATAAAAGGAAATATTTTAGATATATTTGATTATAATGTAATTTTATAAGATTCAGATGTCTTTTTTTTTTGGGTCGGTTGTGAGGCTTGAACTCAGCCTGGGCACTATCCCTCAGCTCTCAGCTCAAGGCAAGCTCTCTACTGCTCTCTAGCCACAGCACCACTTCTGGTTTTCTGGTGGCTTATTGGAGATAAGAGACTGACGTACTTTTCTGCCCAGGCTGGCTTTGAACTGTGATCCTAAGGTCTTAGCCTCCTGAGTAGCTAGGATTACAGGCATGAGCCACTGACACCTAGCTCAGACGTCTCCTTTTCAACATGATTCAAACAGCATTTTCATAATGGCTCCCAACAGAAGAATCATGATGCAAAAGATTACAGAACAGATGCTCTGCTTCAACTACAGCTTGGTGGATATGTAGCTTTGTGGATGTGCTGTCATATTAACATTAATTGAATTTCAATGCTACAAGAAAACCTGAAATACATTTTTTTTTTGTCTTGTGGGGCTTAAACTTAGGATCTGGGCACTGGTTTTTGCTCATGGCTAGTGCTTTACCACTTTGAGCCACAGCCCCACTTCTGGTTTTTGAGTAGTTAATTGGGGATAAGAGTCTCATGGGGACTTTCCTGCCCAGGCTGGCTTCGAACTGTGATCCTCAGATCTCAGCCTCCTACACAGCTAGGATTATAGGTGTGAGCCACAGGCATCTGACCTTGAAATAACATTTTAAAACTTCAGGTTTGCATGCTAAAGCTGAAACTTCAAACTCTGATAGGATTCATGCTGACACTGCACATAGCAATTCATCTGAGTATTTTCTAAGATGATTTAAGCCTACAGATTGCATAGAAAAAAAGGCTTCACATTATGCAAATTATTTTAGTGACAGTTCATAAACCTAACTCCATTTTTACATCTATACCTTACAAAATAGCATTTCTGCCTTCCTTGAAAGACCTTTTATGAGCCTATATATGAAAGGGCTATAACAAGTGTAAGCCTCTAAGAAACTAAAAGTAGGTTATACCTAGTAGGGTTCCAATTCCTTTAGAACAAAAAGCACACACGTTAACGGTGATATAAGGATCTCATCTTGTGATATGCTCAGAATATACACATTTCGGTTTCCAAGGCAATACATTTCATTGTTTCTTCCACTTTGGTTATTTCTTCTTTTTTTTTTTTTTGGGTCCAGTCGTGGGGCCTGAACTCTGGGCCTGGGCGCTGTCCCTCAGCTGTTCAGCTCAAGGCTAGCACTCTACCACTTGAGCCACAGCGCCACTTCCAGCTTTTTTCTTTTTGCTTATGTGGTGCTGAGGAATCGAACCCAGGGCCTCATGCATGCAAGGCAAGTGCTCTACCACTGAGCCACCTTCCCAGCCCCTGGTTATTTCTTTCTAATGTAAGAGCATTAAGAAACTAAAAGAATATAACCAAAATACAAGTATACCATTTTTAAAGACAATGGGGAAGCATTAACCGCTCCCCTGAAAATGTAAAACACTGAAAATCTGAGTAAAACTTCAAAAAATAAAATGGCTTATTTCATATACCTCAGACAACTAGAGCCTTCCTTTTAGCATAACAAAAGATGTAATTATATAGTAGACTTCCTACTGATCTTACATTTTAAGTCTGCCATTTACACACGATTCTTGTTATTACCAGAATGTTATTCTTCATTGTATCTACTTGATACATAATAGGGCCTGGCCTCACTGTAGGTTTTTATCTGTATACTTAACCATTATAGCAAGCCCAATGAAGCGCTGTATATCCATGATTGTCTGCTATGGCTGGATTTGCATCCATAGATGCTGCTGACTGTAAAAGGGCTCCCAGAACACCAATGTGTCCGCAGGCGGCTGACAGGTGTATAGGTGTCCGTCCCCTACTATCCCGGAGTAGGCATTTAGCACCATGTTGAAGTAATGCATCTATACATTCTTCATGGCCTGTAACCGCCTGAAAGAAAAATAAATACGTTGAATAATATGCTCCAGCTTAGTTAATTTTTATTGCTAGTGGTTTAAAAATTTGGTTGACAACGGTTCAGCCAGGAGCTAGTGGCTCACGCCCTGTAATCCTAGCTACTCAGGAAGCTGAGATATGAGGATCGAGGTTTGAAGCCAGCCTGGGCAGGAAAGTCCATGAGACTCTGATCTCTAATTAACTACCAGAAAACCAGAAGCAGCACTGTGGCTCAAGTGGTAGAGTGCTAGCCTTAAAGAGTGATGAACAGCACCCAGGCCCAGAGTTCAAGCCTCACGACCAACAATAACAAAAAATTCAGTTGCTGCAGCAATGGTGTCAAAGTATAAGTAATACGGAAAACAAGGAGATACTTCTAATTCACTAAAAGTATTTCGAAAGAAAAACATAAAAATGTGTGTTATGATAGTAGAAAAAAGTTAAATTGATAAAATTGTACTTGAGGTTTTAGGGATTTACAATTTTGTGCCAATATTATTGTTCCCTGGCTTAAGTTATGTATTGGAACTATTCAATATCACCATTCAAAAGCCAAGACGCTAGAAAATAAAAATTCAGTAACAATTATTGTAGAAATTTAATGAAGAAAGATAAACAGTCCAGTTCAGCTGTAACTAATGAAGTCCTATCCTAAAAGCTTTCTGCTAATAAGTTATTTTGGCTTACCCCTCTATGCAACGCTGTCCGTCCCCATTTATCTTTGGCATCTACATTTGCTCCTTTGTTTAACAGTGAGTATACACAGTCCGTGTGACCATTGAGAACAGACAGCATAAGAGGTGTCCTAGTAACAACAGAAATAGGTTTAGTGCTATCATTTAAAAGAATGTACTCTATGAACAGAAAGCAATGTGATAGTTTACAAAAATGCCTTTTTGTGATATTTATTTAAATTAAAAAAAACCTGTATTTGATGTTTCTCAGTGACATACTATGACAGAGTATTATAATTATAATAGGGGGCCATGTACATAATCAGTCATCTTAAATGTGACTTAACAATGGGGGGTATGTGCTTGTGATTTCAAGCACTACAGTGGCTGAGGTGGGAAGATAAGGGACTTGAGGCCAATTGTGAAATGCTATTTCAAAAAGACCAAAAGAAATTATGTAAAAATTATTAAAACTTACTGTCCATTTCCATCTTGAATATCTACTGCATTCTGTGGTTCTGCATTTCCTATTAACAGCCGTAAACATTCGGAATGACCATTTGTTGCTGTAAAGTAATAATTTTAAATTTCAATAATAAAATATCCATCTTAAGAGAAACACCTTCCATAATATAATTTTGAAATTATCTGGGGCTGGGAAGGTGGCTCAGTGGTAGAGCACTTGCCTTGCATGCATGAGGCCCTGGGTTCGATTCCTCAGCACCACATAAGCAGGAAAAAAAAGCTGGAAGTGGCACTGTGGCAAGTGGTAGATCGCTAGCCTTGAGCTGAAGTGTTAAGGGACAGTGCCCAGGCCCAGAGTTCAGGCCCACGACCAGACCCACACCCCGCAAAAAAAGAAATAATCTCACTGGATTTAGTACATAAGAAAGAAATCTCAAATACAAGGTAAGTTATCTAAAAAATTTGTTGTTAGAGTTAAATAAATATGAATTCCCCATGGTAAATCACTGTAAACAGGCTGCATATCCATCACTTATCCCTCATCAGAGGCCATGCAAGTAGAATCCTCACTTTATTCAGCGCTTGGTTAGGGAGAGTAATCTGCTTCTATACAAGGGATAAAACCAAGTTGTTCACATTAGGCCCAGTTACAATAACTTATTCTCCTTTGACAGTGATCAAAGGTGATCACAAGGTCCACCTCTGACCAATGAGATGTTGAGAAGTCTAAGAGTTTTTGATAATTATTTTTTAACCTAGATAGTGAAAAACCCTCTTCTATCCTCATTTTAGATACCATCCTATAAAGAAACATCAACTGTCCTGTACATAAACCCAAGGGAAAGAAAGCAGTAGAGAATCTGATTAGGTCCTAACATCACTGTGGAATCAACCAACCCTGGAAGTGCATTTGCCTATGGACATTTTACAGGAGTCTAAATTTATTTCTTTTCTGTCGGTTGTGGGGCTTGAACTCTGGGCCTGGGCACTGTCCAGCTCTTCAGCTCAAGGCAAGCTCTCTACTACTTGAGCCACAGTGACACTTCCGATTTTCTGGGTGGTTTATTGGAGATAAGAGTCTCCTGGACTTTCCTTGCTGGGATTGGCTTTGAAAGGTGATCCTCAGATTTCAGCCTCCTGAGTAGTTAGGATTATAGGCGTGAGCCACTGGCATATGACAGGAGTCTAAATTCTTATCACTTAAGACAACTTCAGCAAGATTACTCTTTTTTCTTTTTTGTGCTGGTCCTAGGCTGAAACTCAGGCCCTGCATGCTGTCCCTGAGCTTCTTTTGCTCAAGGCTAGCACCCTACCACTTTAAGTCAAAGCACCACTTATTGCTTTTTGGTAGTTTACTGCCTATAGGAGTCTCATGGACTTCCTGCTTGGGTAACTTTGAACCATAATCCTCAGATCTCAGATTCCTGAGTAGTTAGGATTACAGGTATGAGCCACTGGTATCCAGTTGAGAGTAAACTTAAAGCTGAAAAATTCTCAATATTAAGTATATGTAAATAAATAAATATAAAATAAGGATTAATGAAGATCAGTTTTCACATATATATGTGTATTTTTTCATATATATAAATACAAATGACATGTATGTGTATATATATATATATATATATATATATATACTGTTTTATATGTTCAAGTACATAAAACAGAAAAGTAAAAGTGCCCTTCAAGACAAAGCTTTAGGGGCTGGGAAGGTGGCTCAGTGGTAGAGCGCTTGCCTTGCATGCCTGAGGCCCTGGGTTCCATTCCTCAGCACCACATAAGCAAAAAGAA